TTAATGGAGTCGTTCGGTCCACTGTGGACATCTGCCTCGTTAGAGCAGATGAGATCCTCTCACCAGATCACTGTGATTTTCCTGCATTATTCAGTTTTGCACTGACGTCCATGTTAAAGGGAGCCTTTTTATACCAAAGAGCTCTGAGTCTGAGTCTTTTAAAAGTTCAGACGACACGGTTAGATTGACGAGGTGGCGGAGGGACTTTTCGTCCCGTTTTTTTTACCCTGAAGTAGTGCTTTAAAAATGACTCATGCTGCACTGTCTGCTATAATAATTAGACGTTACAGTTATCGACACGTCCATAAATTTCTTCTCTGTGTGGAGAACAGACAGACAGACAGACAGACATACAGACAGACAGACCGACGTTTGATTGTGTGTGTGTGTGTTTGTGACCTTTACTGTGAATTGTCTCGTGTGTCTGGCAGAGACAGAGAGAAAGATGAGACGAGTGGTGTAAGACATCAGACACGGAGTGGAATTACTTTACTCTAAAATACTTCATTTATCATATCAGCCACATTTACAGTTCTCACTATGCACTCGGAGAGGAAGTCAGGTGACTGTGTGTGTGTGTGTGTTTCTGGTGTAGCTGCACTTCTGGGCACTTTTTTTTTAAAGTATGTTTTTGGGGACATCCTGCAGGTCAGCAGGGTATTTTTATTTATTTTTTATTTTGAATTTATGATTAGCATTAGATATTCTATCTAATTGGTCAGGTGTGAATGTAGGGCCAGAGAATACATGTCTGTAAAGCCTTTCATAGAAGGATTTTTTTTGTCAGTTGAGTGAAATATTTGCACTTGCGTTAGTGAATGTGTAATTACTGTGGTCAAAAACACTTCTTCCAGATTCAAAATGTAATCACATGACCTCTGGTTTGTGTTGAATATAAAAAGAAAGAAAGAAAAGAAAACGAAAAGAAAATCAATCTCTCTGTGTAGACTGGAATCTGTAAATTAATCTGTAAAATAAGTTAAGCCTTAAATATTTTTTTAAAGTTTTTCAAAATGTAATCACATGACTTCTGGTTTGTGTTGAATGTAAAAAGAAAGAAAGAAAAGAAAAGAAAATCAATCTCTCTGTGTAATCTGTAAACAAGAAAGACGTTAAGCCTTAAATATTTTTTTAAAGTTTTATACCAAACCTAATCCTATTCATGTAATAATGACCCATGTTGAAGCAGGTGTACACAACACTCCCCAAAAATGGCACGATCTCCCGAGGTCACATCAATGTTTTAATTAAAATATTTCGAAAATGTTTGTGATTCATACAACCCAAACTAGAAACTGCCTGTAAGTAAGAAATTAGGCAAATGACTTTAGTAAATTAAAATGTTCATAAGCATTTCAAATATAAATACTTTGAGAAAGAACGTTTTTATCAATGGAACAAATCACAGAAAAATAATTGCTCAAATCCCAGCAGTTAAATATCATAACATAGAAGAAACTTTAAAGAAAAATATTTTGTTGACAACAAACCCAACATTTTTACTCTGTGCTGTCTGCAGTAGTCTGAGTGTTTTGTAATTTCTCACTGCTATGCCCTCATGTGAATCTTGCTGACACAGCATATCTGCTGTTTATTAATAAAGAAGCCCAGGTGTCCTAGATCCCTGTTCCCAGTGTTAGCGTAGCTTAACTCAGAGAAACGATGGGATGAAAGAACAGCGACGGTAGATGAAGATCATAACGTGCGGATAAATGAAACAACAGGAAGTGACATGGACCCCGAGGCGTTTATCCTCCTCTGGAATAGCGCCGCATGTCGCCCGTGACTTTCCAGAAATAACTGTAACACAAAGACATTTGAACAGTACACGACTTTAGCACTGCCAGGGTCGCTGACATGCAAAGCTACGCTGCATGAATGTATTTATATAACGTTCCAGCTGGGAGTGCTAAAACTCTCCTCGGAACGTCTGACAGAAGTGTGTAAGTTATGGATGAAGAGGTGGTCACGGACAGCTGAACATGTCTGCGTACGGCGTGTTGACTGGAACAGGAAATGAAATATTAATACACCAGCAGTGAACGGCTGGGATGGAGGAGATCAGAGAGACGGATGGAGAGGACGAGGACGTTACCGCACTGCTGTAGTCCACTGATCGGCTGGAGAACATCAATCCAGAGCAGAGCTGCTGCTGCTGCCGCTGCAGTACTGGTGACCACAGGGAGACGGTTGTTTGTTGTCTCCAGTAGCTCTAGGCTTCACAGCAACAGAATATGCTCTGGTAGAAAATGCCGGAAAGATAATAAGGGGTTGCAGACCAATGCCAAAAGATAAAGGTTTATTTAGAAATATTTAAAGCCATTGGGTCCAAATGCAGGTTTATTCAGAAATATTTAAAGCCATTGGGTCCAAACACGTTTCTGTTCGAGGGGTTTGCCATTTTTAATGGAAACGAGAGCTTGTTTGAGGTGCTGCTGTATGTAGATGATATCACACTTTCAAAAACACCTACTCGTGATGACAAGGATGTGCGCACAGGTTGACATTTGGGTGACAGGGAAATGTCAAAAACAGATGATTGGTTTCAGCTCGAGGAGAAGGACGTAAACTGTCAACATCTGACACATATTGTGAAGTATATTCAGCTGGGCAGGATCTGCCCTCGGTGTGTGGTTAGTGAAGCTGTTTCATTAAATCATGAATGAATTTCTATTATCTTAATCCGTATCGTTTTATCTACTTATTTTGATTAAATAACGTAGAATGGAAAGTACACCTAAAATTAGCAAAATTGACGAGAGCTAATATCCCTCCAACTCACCATCTGATGACTCAACTTCTGTCCTGACATTTTATTCTGCACAAGATTTTTGTGAACCTTCTCTAAATCCAGCCATATGGCAGCCCCCCCCCCCTTTCCCAGATGGTGGGCACTACAAAGTGAGGTCACTGTTACAAATACCCAACACAATACACACACTTACACACATGGGTAATAATAGACTTGTGTTTGGGACAGATGACACGTATGCAGATGATATGAATTCAGTTAAGAGTTGAGTTTGACGTCACAGGAACCTCACGCAACAGGTTTTATTGTCGATGACATTATGTACTTTACACGTCAACAGGCGCATCATCAAAGATTGTGTCCAATGAAACTCAGTGGAATCGTACCAACGCTAACCCAATACTGGGGAAGAACGGCTTCGTACAGTACAGTATTTCTAGAGGAGTACCAAGAAAGACTTCATTTTGATAATATTTTCTCACTGTGGAAGGCCAAGGACAGGCCGGATTGTACAAATACACATATAAAAAATATAGTTTTTTCTTATTGATTTCTGTGCAAATACAGTGAAGTCAATATGAACCAAGTTAAACCCAAAAAAGCAGAAGAAAGTTGAAAGTCACCACAGAAGAAAACTGAAAACTGCAGAAGGAGTTGGAGAAAAGAGAATTCAAAGACTAAAATAACACANNNGAACTAGCATTTGGCACAAGAAGGAAAACTGTGAAATATTCTCTCATATTTGGGTTTATGGTAAAGTGGAATATCAAAGGAAATATTTTATGCCTTAAGTGAAAACAGATGTTTATCTCAACCTTGATATAACAACGTAACAATGTAACATATGGCAGCTATACACATATATATCTTGAATTCCAATTAGTCCACTACTGGAAATATGCCATTTTAGATGTTTGGATGTTGTATTTGTCTCAATTTTTTTATTTTTGAATTTTTCTTTTTTTATATTTTACATAGATAATAGCTTAAATATTATTAAATATTGTTTTAATGATTAATTAAAAAAATTACTTGCTTGCTTACGGCAAAATAAAATTACATTTAAAAAGTACTTGCTTGCTTACGGCAAAATAAAATCAGAAAAAATACAAGTTCTATACAAGTTCTATTTTTTTTTCTTTTTATGGATCAAAGGAAAACTGGAAATTTCTTTTCACATTTAATTTTTTTTTTTTTTTTAATTGACATTTACTTGTTTACTCCCTGAATTCTCCAGTTACGACCATACGGTCAGGGAGAGATTTCACTGAGCAACTGCGTCACATCCTGTGTAGAACATTTGTGTAAAGTTTTGGGGAAAAACAAAGTTTGTTCAGTACATATGAGTGTGTGTGTGTGTTAGTGTGAGTGTGAGTGTGTGTGTGTGTGTGAGTGTGTGTGGAGTACATGTAAACCTTTTCTGTGCCTTCAGGCTTCAGTCTGACTCTTTCTGGTGGGCTCTGGTCCCGGCCCCCTGTCTGCCCTGTCAGGAAACACACTCACATTACACATGCAAGTTAGCATGTATATATGTGTGTGTGTGTGTACATGTAAACCTTTTTTTTTTCTTTTTTTGTGGTTGATACTTCTTCCCACAGTGACCTAACACACACACACACACTGTGCGACAGAAAGAATGTTGTTTGGTCAGAGCAGCTGCTCAGGTATTTCACCCCAGCTGAGATTCTCTACTTCCGTTCCTACCTTTGTTCTCCTGAAATTAAAGTGAAGGAATTAATGACTGTGTACAAAAAATTTCAAACTTTTTTTTCAGCAGTTAAAATGACAATTCAATTTCATAAAACGTTGCTTCGCCTTCAGTGCTAACCTCAGCAGCTGTTTCTGCTGGTTTGGCCTCAAAGAAGTTTTGAAGTTTGATCAAATAGTTTACAGATAGAAGATTTGTGGGTTCAAGTCCCAGTCATTGGTGCTCAAGTCTGAGGTAGGGTCGCCTGTTCTGAAGTTGAGCGGGAGAATATTGCATTTCTGGCTGGGTGTGATGGTACTTTCGGGTATTCGGTGGCGTCAACACTTGTGACTGTACAGTGGTATTTGAAGTATTGCAGTTTTTCTATGTAGTCACCGCTCTAAGATAAGGACACGTCAGAATGACTGATGGGCGCCGGGCTGTTTTTAATACTGTACATTTGCATTAGTGTGAGACTGTTTGTTCTATTGGCGGCTACACACAGGCTGAGTTCCTGGAATCAACAAAGTGCTCCTTCAGTTCTGTTGATGAACCTGTGTTCACACCCTAACCTGTGACATCACCGCAGGAATTTATTCAAATACTTGAAGTCAGGCAGGTGATGGCGCTGTTGGAGACCAGCCTGTTTGTTTTGACCAGGATTCGTAGCAACAGAGGAGAACAACTGGGCATAGACATTTGACTTGTTGTCATTTCTTCCACTGGAAAGTTTTTAAAAAAATGTTTTATTTATTTTTTTATTCAAAGCAGACATATTTGCTTGGCTTTTTTTTTTTTTTTTAACTCCGAGCGAAACACAGAACAGTTGCAGAAACAAAAATCCACTGTGATTTATGGAACGGCAGCACAAACAGTGAGGTGTTGCTCCTTCAGCAGCCGTTGGGGAGTGAGTGGAAGTCTTCCAGAACACATTCTCTTGAAGCTGTAACAGAATCCAGCTGATAATGGAGGCAGGCAGCACTGTTGTTGAAGCCAGACCAAAATAGAAACTGAATGTGCTGAAAACAGAAAAGGGTGTGTCTTCTATACTTCTTTCTTCTCCTCGGGCCGTGTGTGTCAGCGGTGTCAGTGACGGGTCATGTCAGAACGGAATGTGAATCGACGTCTGATGATGACAAATAAAATATTGTCCAATGACAAGTGGATGATGAGACGGAGACAGAGAGTGTGAGAGACAAGAGTGTGAAATCAGCTGGTGCTGATGTCGTGAGTGGAACAACATGCCGAGCTCCTCCTCAGTCTCAGGCAGGGGGCGCTAGTTTATTGCATGCCTTGGTCTTTTGAATAAACTGCACTGTGACTTTAATGTTTTATGCAAATCTTGTCTTTTTTTATATCAGTGATAAGAACCAGAGATGAATACAAAGATGAAAATGACATTTTATCGTCATCTGCATATAAAATAATTTACATTTTCAGTGACGCACAGTTGCAAATTATCATCTCAAAAATTACTTTCCATTTAAAAAAAGTTCTTTGTTTAAATTAGTTTTTTTAAATGTATTCCTGCATTCCCTAATTTTACATTGTGGTTGGGTCGGCAGTTGTTGTTTTTTTTTGTGTGTGTGTGTGTGTGTGTATGTGATTTACTCTCCAGTGTAGAGTATTTGGAAATACGTTTTTAATGGATCACATCTGTCAACGTTATGTGGTAACATCTGGAATGAAAAAAACCCTGAGCCTGACCAGATTTATCTCAATCCCTCTGTGTGTGTGTGTGTGTGTGTGTGTGTGTGTGTGTGTGTATGTGTAAAACCCAATTGTTTCTCTAAGAAGACCAGTCAGATTCATCTGCTACAATAAGGCTGGGATTACAGACTGAGATTAAATCTGCCTCACCGTCTCAGGCTGTGAATCTGAATGTTTCCTCAAACACGACGACAGAAGTTAATCACGGTCAAATGATGTTTTTGAAAAAGATACTTTGTATATTTCTCCTGTTTTAACTGTCTCTAGGTCTAATCTTCAAAAACAATCAAATCTGACTTCCCTGTCTCCAGATTACGTATGCTGCAGCAGGGAGCTGTGTTTATTTATTCCAGCCTCAGGCATGGAGCTGATTTTTATTGGCTTCCTAAAGGGATAGTACAGGATTTTAGAAGATTCAAGACTCAAATCACTCAGCGATCAGCTGAACTCTGGCATTAGGACGATGTGTTTTGTTGGAGCACCAGGTGTAAACGACAGTGTTTTCTTCTTGTTAATCTGGCATCAGGACAACATTTTTAAAATGTCCAAGCAGGTAGTAAGAATTTTAAATAACCAGGATGGTCTCATAGGAGACAACAGGTAGTAAGAATTAATATTTTTTTTAAATAACCAGGATGGTCTCATAGGATACCATGATTTGTAAAAAAAAAAAAAATAATTAAAATTTTTATACTCAATTAGCACTGACTTATACAATAAATACTTGTAGACTTATAAATACAACCATATATATTTATATATTCACCCCCGACATAAATCCAATTCATGTATCATTTTTGACATATATTCAATCCATTTATTTTCTACAAAAATATATATATATTCAATTTTCATTTGATGAACCACAGAAGAAATAACAGACTCTCTTTCCTTCCCTCCTTTCAGACGATGAACCCGTCGTATTTGGCACCAACTCCCTCCAGAGGCGTAAAAAAGGTCTGGGCCTGACTGGGCTGCGCCCCACTGGTTCAGGCTCCACCCACTCCAAGAACAAACCAGGCCTGATGATTGGGATGCCCCAGAACTTCAGGCAGATCTCCTCCATCATAGATGTGGACATTCTGCCAGAGACGCACCGCCGCGTGCGGCTTCACAAGCACGGTACCCACAAACCCCTGGGCTTCTACATACGTGACGGGGTGAGTGTGCGGGTGACGCCACAAGGAGTGGAGAAGGTGAGATAAAGATTTAACAAAATATTTGTCATCATGAGACACAGTAACATTTTTGGTCCAAAAACCACGGTTTCTGACACCTGTTGCTGCCACCTGTTGGTGAAGGTTCCCGGGGTGTTCATATCTCGTCTGGTTCGGGGAGGACTGGCCGAGAGCACGGGCCTGCTGGCCGTCAACGACGAGATTCTGGAAGTGAACGGCATCGATGTCGCAGGAAAGTCGTTGGATCAGGTAAAATTCAGTGGGAGGAAACTCATCTGTCATTCGTCAAGGACAAAACAATAAGTAAAAAAAAAGGAATAAGAATTTTCACAACACTGTTTCTGTTATTATTTAATTCTGCTCATTCACTTGATTTAGTTTTAAGGTCTCACCACTAGTAGTCACAGTTGAGCATGGATTGTTCATCAACATTTACCGTACAGTTGGTGTAAAATTGTTTTTTAAATGTGTGGTCATGAAGTAGGCCAGAAAAACTATAACCACTAGAGGGCACATTTCCTAAAAGAATTCCATGACTTTAAATAGGATTAGGGGATAGAGGCTAAATGGATGGATGGACAGATAGACGGATGGAAGTTACTGAGAACTAAACTCCGTGTCTTTTCCAGGTCACAGACATGATGGTGGCCAACAGTCACAACCTGATCGTGACTGTGAAACCTGCGAATCAGAGAAACAACGTGATGCATCGTGGGAGTAAATATTCCATTGGAAACTCTGGCTCTGTAGGATCTGCAGGCTCCAGTGGCTCAGCATTGTCACATGACTCCCCAAGCCCCGCCTCTCAGAGCAACCCTATCACTGCAAGGTAGATGTCGTCCCTGTGGGGAAAAAAAAGTTTCTGTTTTAGTATAACTTCATCGATCAATATATTTATTTTTTTCCTTTTCCTCGCAGCAACAGCATCGCAGAGGGCGACAGCGACGAGGAAGACGACGACGGCGACCTCATCCTGGAGAACGACTGCCTCACACCGTATGAACCGCAGCAGGTAAACAACGGCAACAGCACAAATCTGAACAGAGACTCGCCCAACACGAGGCCGCCTCACGCCACCGCGGTCAGGCCCCTCCCACAGAGCATCTCGTTGCCCAATAGCGTTGGCGCATCATTGACTGACGGCTCGATGGCGACGTCAAGGTTCAGCGATGACACGGCCAGTAACAGCCCGGAGAGCATGAGAGAGGACGGCAACATCATCACACTGTGAACGATCAAACCACATACTCTTGTAGTACTCTTGTAGTACTCTTGTAGTACTCTTGTAGTACCGCGTGACCGTGGAAGGGGTGCGCTGTCGTAACAGCGGCGGCTGTGATCCACGTGTGGTACTGAGCAGCAGCTGAACTGTGACCCTTTCTTCCTGTTGGCTGTTTCTGTTGATATTTAGTCTTTTAACGGTGGACTGTTGATCTCTTCTCACACACACACACACACACACATACACACGTACACACAGCAGGAGGACACAGTTTCTTAACTACAGACAAAATAAAAAATGATTTTGTGACCACTGGAGCTGCCACTTTCATAGCATATTTCCACATTCAAACATGGGAGTTCAAGTTTAAACCAAACAGTCAGTACACCTCAGACTGTTGAAAGCAGGTACCGTGTGATCCAGCGGAGGGCGCTCTAAGAACAGTTGATTTTTACTGTGATTTTACACCCAGTGCAAAAAAAAAAATTCACGTCAAAGAGTTCAGGTTGATGCAGTTTTCACAAAACATAACATTGGACTCAAACTGGAGCAAAGACTCTGGTTAGCTGTGGCTAACAGCAACTGAACTTTAGCTTCTCTTTCCTCATAGTAAGTTATGTTGCCGGTAAATCTCAACCCTGATTGGTGGACACGACTGTTTTAGGTATAACATGACGACCTATAGCAGATCACAGAAGGGCTGTTTTGCCAGACGTGCGTGGTAGCATTCAAACTACGGAACCTATTTTTTCAGTTGCGTTGCCTTCACTGACCTCCTTCACATTGTCTGAGTCTTTATGTTGGCGTTCACTCTGCTTAGACTGGACACAGAGAGACAGTCCAGAAAAAGTCTTCCTGGGAAAAAAATAAAATGATATTGGAGCATCGTGTATTTAGGTGATTTGAGTCGTTCTGGAGAACCAGAAAAACATGTCGCTCACCAACCGTAAATGTTGTGTGTGTATGAAATCCACACTTAAACTTCACGTTACATCAGTGGTGGACAAAGTGATGGATATGTTGGACTTGAGACGATGAGTTTTTAGGAGTATTTTAACGTCACTATGCCTTGACTTGTAAACCAATCAGGGGAAAGTGACAGCCATCAAATCAACAACAATTGACAGCAACTTGAGGAGTTTTTCAATGACTTGTAAACCAATGAGGGGAAAGTGACAGCCGTCAAATCAACAACAATTGACAGCAACTTCCCCTGTAGGTTTCTATAGATAAATGATCTATAAATATATATCAATTCACTCGATGTGAATGATTTAAGTTTAAGTTAAGATTTTCCCGACAGCTCGGTGTAGAGTCACGGTGAGCTGTGCTATGATGTCCACCTCTGAACGTCTTCACCTCATCTTCACCACCACTCGTGATTTACCACAAGCTCCAGGGACTAAACATGGAGCCGTGAGAGGCACAGTGAGCAGAGAAGGTGAGAAGGTCAGGGTTCATGTTAGCACGAAGACAAACTCACGGACAGTTGATCGTCTTGGTTTTTCACTGATACTGAGATTTTTTTTTTTTTTTTTTTTCCAACAAGCGCTGATTTTCACAACACCAATATTTAATAATGGCACAATAACTCATCAGTGCCAAGAGAATAATGGGTTGATCCTTGTATTATTCAAATCAAGGCCAAAAATGCAGTATACAGTTTATACTGTAGTACAATAAACTTAATTATGGTCAAGACAGCGATGGTGTGAATCAGTCACAAAAAGGGATTAAATTATGAGTTTTATAACTTTTTTTACTCCTTGTAATTATTTTTGATTTTTGCCCTCATTTATTACTGAATTCCACTCACGTTTTTTAAAGCTTTACTACGTTATATAGATATATAAATATATATTTTTAAACCTGTGTAAATGAAGGAAACGAATCATTTGCTTCTTTAGCTCACATCACTGAATAAAGAGGGGTGAGCAGCTCGACTGTTACTGTGACGACAAAACAAATAGACGTCTCTTTATTGCAAGAAAAAAAATTACTGTGAATTTTTTTTATAAAATACCTCTAGTATTAATTCAGAAATGGAGTACGGTATGGACCTGTGAAATATTTGATGTATTTGTGCGTTGGTTTTTAAACATTCAGCAAAATTAAAGAATATGTCCTTAGCTCAGGAGTTAAAGACAAACAACTGGTGCATGTTGCATTGCACTTGTTAGGATATTTTGAGCTTATAAAATGCCACCTCCCCCCCCCCGACAAGAAAAAAACCAAAACAACAACTGTCCGGTCCTAATTTTGTTTTGTTGAAGGTCAGCTCCATGTACGATCGATTATGATTGGTCAAGACGACTCAGTCTTGTTTCACTTTACAACTGACTGAACAGCAGTACTTTGTAGTGAAAAACACCACGTGCCTCTGTGTTTACACAGTTTATTGAAAAAATGCGATGGCTGTGGATTGTGAGGGGAAGCGTAGCTACAGCTACAGTACCTGTGTTCCTGTATTGTATCCTTGTGGGGACATGTCCTTCGAGGTATACTGTCGTTTCTGGGACACTTATTCCTATGGGGACATTTTGCAGGTCCCCACTGAGTGAGATGGATTTTGGAGGTTCAAGGTTCATCTTAAAGTGAGTAATAGTATAAAGGTCAAGTGTATGGTATGTGTTAGGATTGGCTAAATATTTATAAAGGTTAGCGCTCGGGTAAGGGGCTAAAGAATACATTATGTCTATGAAGTACTCACATAAACAAGTATGCGTGTGTGTGTGTGTGTCAGTGAGTGTGTGTCAGTGAGTGGGGCCCTTGGCGCAGCTCTGGGGGTTTTGTGTTACAGTCACAACTGTTGGCTCCCTCACACACTGCTCCCTTTCTTTACAGTCCTTCTTTGTCTCGTGATCACATTTCACCCAAATACTTTTGGCAGCATTTTCAAACTGAATCACCATCACAACTGGATGAACTGTGAGGAGACACTGACACAGAGATGACTTACACAGTAGATGTGAGGAAGACCATGAGTATTTCATAGAAGAAGAAGAAGAAGAAGCATGTGGTGCCATTCAGATTCATTTGTCAAATACATGAAACGGAACATTCAAGGTCTTTATATCTTCTCAGTCCAGGTATTTTAACAACCAAACTACATGATACCACAAATATATTTTATTTTTATTTAGTAAATAGCAGTAAATATGTATTCTGTAAGGTTTGTGTCTTTTTTTTCTAAATCCTCAGATCTTCCTATCTGGTGTGTCTGGTTACCATTTCCAGATCCCTCCCTCTGAGCTTCTGATGACTTTGTCGATGCCCCCGTTAATGCTCTGCAGGTGGCTGGTTTCCGTCCTGACAGCAGGTCGGCATGGAGACGTGGCCAACATCTGCCTGGTCGTGTTTGAAAGAGCAGGTTGTCCTGGTCCTGACTGAGCCGGAGATGAATGATCGACTCCCAGGAGCTGATGCAGAGGTTGTAGAAACTGTGTATGAGATGAATTTTACCTACTTTTTTTTTTTTTTTTTTTTTTTTTGGTGATTGTGCTGGCCCCCCTGCAATATACCGTACCCTCAGATTTGTGTTTCCTGGAGTGCACGTCTTTATCTCTTCCACCAGGTCCTTGGGCTTTAAATTAACTTCCACTAAATAGATTTGTGTGACAGACGGTTGAAGGACTTATCCTATAAAGGATATTGATTATTTGTTGTTCCTGTGTGGTAAGTGTTGGGCTGCTTTGGCTAACATTAGCAAGATACAGCTACTTCTTTTTGGGGCTATTTTTTCATATTTGTTTGTTTGTTTTTGGCACACTTTAATCTCTTTTGGGATTTTTTTGATAATATTATAACATCCTGTTGTTAACTTTTATTTTTTCCAAAGATACATAACTTATGCAAGGGAAAGCACATTGTTTTAGTAATTTTTTGCTAATTTCTGTCTAGCCTTCAGCTAAGTTAAGGGAAATCACATTGTTTTAGTAATTTTTGCTCATTTCTGTCTAGCCTTCAGCTAAGTTAAGCAAATTAGCCGCTATGTTTATGTAGCTACACCTTAGCTAGCTATAATTGGGAAATACAGCTTAAAAACACAGCCTAATCAGAAAAGTGTGACCCGTCCAAACCAAGTCGGTATCACTTACATGGTTAGCTTAACCAAGTTTGGCTTCTGTTTATTTAGCTGATCCTAATTAAAAGTGTGGAGGAAATCGAAAAACTGCAGCTTTTGAAACAAAGATGGAAAAACAGCTCTTAACGAAGCCACAACATTCAACATCAGTTTGTTAAAACAACGGCGCCGTCCAATCCTCGGATGTCGTGTCATTAAAACAAATCTCCAAATTATTGCTAATTACTAAATTATTTCTAATCACTCAACTATAGCATGGTCAAACTGCTGCTTAAAGACGTCACCACAAAGTGGCGCTGTTGTAATATCGTGTTAATTCAGCAATATTTTCATACCTTGTCAGACCTGCGGTACTTTCAACTGACATTTTGAGCAAAATACAATTGAGGTACAGCGTGGCTATTTTTTTTACCGTACAATGTCGTCCCCTGGTGGTCACAGTGACACCTTACAGTCAGTAAAACATAAACGTCAGTCGTTTTCTGAATTGTTGACGGTCTCACCATGATCAAAACCAAAACCAAAAAGGTAATAATGGCAAAAGGCTTTGATCAAAAAGGTAATAATGGCAAAAGGCTTTTTTTCAACATTTTAAGTTCTGCTTTATTTACAGCAAGTTGAAACCTGTGAAATATTACACACTGTTAAACAAATATACACGGAAATACTGAGAGGAAGTCGGATCACTGAGAATAAAGGGACAACAATATTATGTATATACTGTATTTGAACAACATGAGGAGCTCTGGTGAGTACTGTGATACTGCAGCCGATAGCAGTGACGTGTCTGATCACTGTCCTACGTCTGGGTTTGAAGCATCCAGTATAAAATAGACCCTGATGTCAGTGCTGTGTGGTTCTGTGGACACAGGAGCGTCCGTCATGTTCTGGACATGTTCTCAGTGAGCGTGCGGACGGGGACTCTCTCATCTGTCCTGGAGGAAGTGGACGAGGACTTTACCGTCAGAAATCACGATGTGACCGGGGCGACTTATCTGCAAAGACTGCAGTCTCTGGCTACCTGCACACACACACACACACACACATGGTCAACTGGGGCTGTACTGGAGCTGGACAAAACAACTCATTGGCCGTACTGGAGCTGGACAAAACAACTCATTTGGACAAAGATGTCTTTCAAAGTCTCATAGTGTCCATCATCACTAAGATGTTAAAATATCTTTTAGATCTAAATCTAGATTGTACTGTACCTCGAAGTACTGCAAACCAGCCGTGCAAGGACAGCAGTGGTGCCTTGTTGTTCTCCTCCGTTACAAACCTCCTGCCGTCTGAAGACAATCACAATAAAAGCAGGACACTTTTGACCTTCATCTAACTTAGTTCATTACAAAAAAAAGAAGAAAAAAATACATGAAAAAGATTTTTTTTTTCACTCAAGGAAATACAATAGATGTGATAATACTTCATAGTAATGTTCATTTAAAACATGTCATGTCATTAGATAATAATAAAATAATTATTTTATTCTGTTTTATTTTTTATTTTATTCACGTCCTACTAATGACCTGCCACAGAGACAGTGTTATAGGGAGTAGACAGGCTCAGCTGAAAGGCTGACTCACATTTGCCCTTCAGGTACATCATGGACTGAGGCCCCCAGTGGATGTTCAGCTGTGGAGAGACATCAACAATTTCTACACTTAGGCTTTCAAAAAAACAAAAACAAAAACAAAAAAAAGACAACCTAAGGTGCAGGTCAACATTACCTTTTGCGCATGACAGGAGTCGACCAACAGGGAGGCGATTAACGAACACGCCCAGACGACCGGAGCTTTAATCTTCTAGAAGAAAAACAATGAAACGTCAACTTTCTGTAAACAACCTACATGTACAATCACACTGGACTAAATGACACACTGTATAAACTCTGGATTGTCTTAAAGTCTGTAAAGTTATACGCTGGGTGACTCTTCAAAGTAAGAGCTTACAGTACTGTCCCGGTGTTATTTGTAGCTTCTCTTTACAAAATAACAAATAATAATAAGAATATATTAATAAACAATAATAAGGACAATATAGCACTTTTTAGCAGCTCAAGTCAAAGTAATGATGGAATGTCAAAAACTAATTTTACAATATAGTTTAATGTGTTGTTTGGCTTTTCTTTTTTTTCTTTTTTGCACTAGCTTCAATTCATTCAGTTCTACAAAGCACTGTGAAGTACACATACTTCAAAATTCAAACCATGCCAAGATGATCCTGAATGATAAGTACTGTACTGTACTTGAGAAAATTAATAGTAGTAGTATTTAAATACCATTCCTAATCTTTAAAGAGCGAGTCTAGTCGTCATAAACGTAATATCATATTTATTTTCAAAAGTGTTATAACAACCAGAAGTCACATATTCTGTAGGAGTAATTGCAAAGTTGAAAATAAAGAAATACATAAATAAATAAAAACTTCATTGCAGCTGTAGCGGCTTCAACAGACTCCACATTAAAATATAAAAACGTCAGACATACCTGCACTGGTACACAGAGCTCACACCTGACTGATGATCCCTAAGATGGGAACACGAACCTATGTCCACTTACCATGTCTTCTGGAGTGAGAGCAGTCAGTCCAGTCACAGCATGTGTCTCCCAGCGATGTTCCAGGCTGCTTATATCCTCCATCAGCAGCAGCAGGAGTAGCGGGTTCGATCCCACTCACCGCGATGCCTGGCGGGACTCCTGTTTACGAGCAGCTAAAAAAAACAGCACAACAACACGAGCTGACGTCACGGCCGCGGTCTGCAGTCAGGAACATCGATCGTTTCTCGTCCCGAAGAGTCATAAACACAAGTATGTTGTCCCCGTTTTGTTGTTGTTGTAGCTGTTTGGGTTTTTTTTCTTGTTTTTTTTTCCTTGTGAGGTTAACAAGTAGCAGGAAATTGCATTAGTTCTGAGAGCTCTCTATGAGCAATAACTGAGTGTCCGTCTAAAAAGGTTGTTTGTGGAGAAAAACAAAACACTGGAGTGTACACATTCTGTGAGTACAAGTCTGCGTCACACACTTGTTCAGATGATTTGAAGATTTTAATGAAATAAAAAAAAATGTACCAGCACACAGAACTCATCCAACAGAGCTGTCAAACTGCTTTTCTTAGCGTCACCTACAGGACGGGAAGAGAAGCTACTTCCTTATTGCTCACTGAATAATACATAGCAGGGGTCCCCAAACGTTTCCGGGCTAAGGCCCTCCAACTAGCATTAGCTTCTGGCTCGGGAAAACTCCCCTCTGTAAACCCAAAGACAACGTTACAAAATATGGAAAGAACCATCTTTTTAAGTAAAGTGAAGAAGTATTTTCTTCACTAATAATTATTACATTTGTTTAGAATACGAAAATTATTAAATAACAATTTTATACGTTATGACGTCGTCATACGTCACACAAGGTCGGTTCAGGTACCACTGGAAATCTGATAATGGGACGATTTCAACTGTTTACGTTTTGAGGACAAATGAAAATGAAAATTTTTAAATAATATATTTTATAAACACTGATACATATATTGGGAATTGATAAGGATTTACCAAGTGTAGTTTGGTTAATGATATCATATATCAAACTACATTTCTTATCAATTCTTTTATTGACTCTCAATGAGGTAGGAATAAAAATATTGTACATAGTTTATTCCTTTTTTGTATGTAAAGTGAACCAAATCCTCCATTGTCATGTTTCAAACTACAAAGAGAGCAGGTATCAAACTAATAACTTCTTCCAGCATGTGGCAGTGTACGCTGTTGCAGTATCTTGCATTTATCTATTCATGGTTGTTGTTTATGTTTGAGCCTAATGTTTTTTCCCTCTCTCCTAATCGCAGGCTCTGCCCTGATTACCATCGCCTGTTCACCTGGATCTCTTTCCTCCTCTGCTCATGTTTTAAGCCAACTCTCACCTTTCACTCCAGGCCAGATTTCCAGTCCACTGTAAGTATTTTTCTTTCATTTTCTTCCACTTTTTAGTTTGTAGACAACAAAAATGAATGTTTAAGGTGTAGATAACACAAAGAAAACACTTTTATTTTGGAATTATGAACAAAAATCATTCTTCAACACTGGTGTGTAGTTACAGCTTTAGTCATGCAGAAGAATAAAAACAAGTAATACATGAAGAATGCATTTGAATGTACATATTTGAGGTTTTTAAATTCCTCAATGTCCCAGATTTCTATAGAATAACTCGAATAACTAGAAGAATTTAAAGGTGTGAAAACCATCTGTGCAGTCAACGCTTCAAATGAAACATCTGTGAACAGATCTTCAAAATCTCTCTAGTTTTTCAGGATAACATTTACACTTACGGATGCAAGCGTTTAACTTCCCTTCAATGAAACGTTAACGACTCCCCTTTGCTGGCGGGACAGTATAAGAAATACTTCAAAAACCTTCTAGTGAATACAATGGGAAATAGAAATGTTAATCATTGAACATGGCCTCTGTTATCTGAGTCAGACAGCGACCAAACTCCTGCAGCAACATGCGTTCGGCCTGTGCTGCAGTCAGGTCGATGTTCTCTGCCAGTTCAGCCTGGACCAGTAAAGAACCACACACAGCCTCCACCACAGCAGAGGTGATGACTGATCCTGGCCATCTAAACACAAACACACGTTTAAGAGCAAATTTTAAAAAAGGCTTTAAGGTTAAAACGAAAAATGTCATTAAAATTGGCCATCTAAACACAAACACACATTTAAGAGCAAATTTTAAAAAGGTTAAAACGAAAAATGTCATTAAAAAACAAAAAAAAAAATACTACTTTAGAAATACAGAGCCCCCCTGTGGCTGGTTGATGTACATCACACTCAACTGCAGTTCAGTTACAGTTTTACTAGTTAATATGTCCTGATGATTTCACCGCATCTCCTTAAGTACACCTAATAACCTTACATTAAAAAAAAGGCAGCCTGTGAGAAGGTGGAATTGATTTTGACTTACGTGTTCTGTGCAGACATCACACCCACGTCAACTCTGTAGTTTCTACAGCCAACACATGTACAGCTGATTGAGCATTTAATCCCTGCCTGAACAGAGTGAACAGGTGTAAACAGATGTAGAGCTTGGTAAGAAGGTGAGGTGAACATGAGCCAGGTTTTTTTTTTCTTAAAAAATGTTTTGCTGCTTTTATTAAGTCAATTTTTAACACGTGTGTGTAATTACTTCAAAGCACTTGCAGTAGTTCTTGAGGCAGCTGGAGCGTTTACAATTGCAGCCAATGTTGGTGTTCACTTTTCGGTCTAAATACAACTGAAAACAAAAGCAAGGACAGAGAGTTAGACCCAGTTATGACCCAAACTGTGCAGAGATATTGTATAGGTAATAATGTACTCAAGTTTTAAGATCTAAAGTATAATAAAGAGGAAACTATTTTAAGTTAACGTAGGTGAGCACAGCGTACTGAGAGGAGACAAAGATTTCAAAGTTTCTCTGACACACACTAGTTGAGAGAATGTGCCTGTACTGATTTCTGATCAGAAACGGAACGACTAATAAAGTGACACCCGTCACCCTGGTACAACTGCACGTCGGAGACATCACACTCGTTCAAACCCACCACGGCGCCGACACCCGCAGCGGGCGTATGTCAATGGTGTTCAACCGTTGGGGACAGATTTGCAGTCAGCACACAAGTCGGTCAATGATCGTTGAGCATCACACAGCAGGAGCACAGAGTTTCTCAGTCACCGTGGAGCTGAGGAACACTCACTGCGGCTCAGTGTGAGTCACTGTAACATAGTTGTCATTGTCACACGTCACGGTGGGGCCCTGAAGCATCAGTGTTGCTTTGTTTGTTACTTTGGCCAATGAAACATTACATTTTTTTTATCGTGTCAGTTAAAGGCAGATCTGCATAATATTCCAAACCTTTACTTTGTGTTGTTCTCTCTCATGTTCCTCGTCGTTGCAGCAGTTTATGCAGTTACAGTTGTGGCACAGGACTCCACTGGCAAAACACTTGCAATGGCTGAATAAACAGATGTTCCAGATTAATAAAACTGGATGGGCTCTATTATATTTCTAATAATATAGTGAGTATATCTCTTGTGTTACTCACCCGTTGAAGCAGTGGGATTTCTGGCAACTGCAGTGTTTCCTGGACTTGAACGCTGACAACGTGGCCTCAGCTCTTCAGAATTCAAAACAGAAAATATATTGCAAGTCATGTCCCTAGTTAGTAGCCTTTTCAACAAGCCACTGAGTGCAGGCTGCAAACTCAAAATAATGTGAAGGTTTCCTTTAAGGTTAGCAGGTTGGATGATATATACCTGAGGTGTTTTAAAGTGTAGTTGTCATCAGCATGTGGTGTGATTATGTATCCAAAATATAATCCCTTCATGTGCTATTACCATGGCTAATTGTATGCTTGTTTATTTTCTGCAATAATTAATTAAGCAAAAACTGCAGTTTTATTATATATTAATTTTGATCTTTACTTTTAGGAAAGGTGACCCCAGAGACACACTGACAGTGTGGTAGAAGCAACATGTTTAAATTAGCGTTCTATTTTCTTACTGTGTTGATGAATGACATTGATGCTGCATTTTTTTTTCACCGTTTCACTTCAACTCATACTGTAGATGCTGAACTGTAGCTCTGTAGAAACTGTGAAATAAATGGTTATTTATATTGATATATATTATTGCTATATTGCTGTGCAGTTACAACAGTCGACCAGAAGTGGCAGTGGTGGTTAGCTGTTAAGTTACCTCTTAGTTCTTAGAGTAATATTTGAATACTGTACATACTACTCCTGGATGCTGTATATTAGGTAAAAGACTGCGTACTTATAAGAGACTTATTAACGGTCTATAGACTTTATTATTTACCTACTAAAAATGAATTCGATTGTTTTTTTTCTTTCGAAAAAAAGTACTTACTTTTTTTAACCACTTAACACACAAACTTTCGTGCTTAAGAGTTAGCATTAAGCTCAATGACGTATGACTGCTTTCTTTTTGATGACGTTAAATTAATGTAAAAAATAAAGTGATAATTCGAGTAGGCTGACTTCGATCATATTTATAATTTCTAGCAAATTTAGTTAAACGCTTTACCTTACAGGTTGTTTGAGAGTTCGTGTAGTGAGGTTAAGGTACGTAAATGTAGCGTAATCAGTCAAGGTGCGCTCGTTTGGAGCATTAACGAGTTAATTCCTGAAAGCTAACGGAAACTCAAACTGTCATGAGTTTCATTTTCTCTTGCCCGTACGCAAATGAAGCGCACCCTTTTAACGCTTTCGGAGGGAACGCTTGTATAAAAATGAAATCAACAGTGACGAGTAACGGAAATTTGGAAGGGACAACTTTAAAACCAACAAGTTTTGTTTTTTGTTTTTGTTTTAATTAAAAATATGAGAATAATGGCGAAATTATGACGTAGAAGTCCAAGATGTTTTTATTCTTATTAATTATTATATAAATACATTTGAAAACGTAAAATAATATATATATGAATATAGGCTTTCAATAAATTTAATACTTGAGACTAGATCATTTAAAGGTATTTTAAAAACACTCCTGTTGTTGTTCCAGTTGTTTCTGTGTTTGTTGTATATCTCAACAAGTACATTTTAATTTTTTGAAATTTGAAATAAGCGGTAGATGAATGAATTGTGTATGTCTTTATTATGACGATGAGTCGTAGAAAGAAACACAACAGAATCGTCTGGTGAGTCCAGTGCCATTTGTTTATTTCACACGTTTTTCTTGAATCAGATGGTTGTGGTTACACAGTGTGTGATTTTTACTAAGATGTGCCTACACTCATGACCGTGGATGTTTTATTTACACAGAAGTACCCGATAATACCGCAGAGTATCAAAGAGAAAATCAATCTCTGTACGAAGTTACGTTAAAGAATCAGAATTTTGCTCCAATCCGGTGTCAGTGTTTGGGTGGAGTTTGGCTACGGTAGATGAGGTGGTCTTGGGGGGTAGTGGAAGTCAGGCAGTAGATGACAGAAGAGCAAACAAAAAAAGAAGAAGAGGCAGACGGTGCCTTTAAGGATTGGTCAGTTCGTCTGATGTCACGGAGGAGGGCAGGTTATCCAGGGCTCCCATCTCTGTAACACACACACACAGGTGGACAACTTCAACACACGTGTGTAACCGGGTCAGAAGCTTCAACTGTGGAATTCAAGTCATTAAAACTCACTGCTGCACAGTATAATTCATTACCAAAAAATACCATATATACAATATATACACTATATGGCCAAAAGTATTCGCTCACCTATACACTTTTGGCCATATAGTGTATATACATATATATGTATATATATGAATTTTAAAATAAAATAATTTGGTTCGATTTGGAAGACGATAACTTTTAATTTTTTTGTAATGATCTAAAAAATTAAACGCCTTCTGCTCGTGCGTGAACAAAAACACTGCACCACAGCGTCCACTCAGCATCAAAAAGTTACCGAGTGGTTCCAGACACATCCAATCATACCTTTGAGTTTGAGGTATGACACAAAGTCGATGATGGTGTGAATGATATCTTCATCTGCTATTCTTAGAGCACCTGTGAAGAGAACAAGACAACAGCAACTAACTCTGTGTCATCTAGAGTTCACAGCTCAGCAGAAACCATGTGGAATTTATACAGTACAAAAAAAAGAAAAAAAAGAAATTCGGTTCCAATACACGGTGGCCGTCCAGTGGCCATGTGAGATTGAGAAACAGACCTGTCCTGAAGTCGTCCTCCTGACCCATGTCCCTCTTGCCAGCCAGACCCGGCTTGTCTCCTAGAGTCCTGTGTCCATCTATACCATCTGGACAATGAGGTGTGAGCACAGTGGTTATAGTCATATGAAGAGAACGTGGATCAGCTTCAGAGTCAGCACTGCATTAGAATCTTAACTGAAACATCTGTAGTTGAGCTGCAGCAGTTCTTGTGATTGAGGGCAGGGGGCAGTAACGGGTTGGTACTGCTCCAGGATTCATCAAGCCTGAATTTCTCAGGTGATATAAACCAACTCTAGTTAGACAGTGTCTAAACTGTCATATGAATGAGGCCTTCCACTGCCATATTAATCAAAGACTATTCATCCTAAATCATGGTAATAAAAATAAAAAGCTAAATTAATTTTACTACACAAACACATATCACTCTGACTCAGAGACCTCTTAAAATTAACACCGCTTGCACCAATAGGGGGCGCTCGCTGCTGCTGCTCTGTGGAACTCTAGGCTGCTGCTCTAATATCATAACAACGCCCCCCCAACAAACAAAAACAGTGGGAGTTCCTTATAACAACGCCCCCCCAAAAAAAGAACAACAAACAAAAACAGTGGGAGTTCCTTGGCTACAGCAGCAGCACATGTTGGACACACACACATACACAGTGAACACATGGCACACCTCTGACTAGACCTGGTAAAAAGAGCTACAGGACATTGTTGTACACTTGATTATTCCACTGAACTAATTGGTTTATTACTGTGTGAGTTAATTTCCAAACTTGTACAGACCACCTGCAGGGCTTGGCTCATGGAATTGCAGTAAAAACAAACAACAGGAAGAAATTATGCAATCACAAAAAAAAAAAAATGGCAGCAGTAAAAAAAATTGATTGGCAAACAAATTAATGTGCTGTGGAAATATAAGGAAAAAACGTCTCTATAGCACCCCTACAGGTGAGGGAAGGCAAGTGCTTTTAAGATACTGTACATACTTGTACTTTTCCCTATAAATATATCCACTTAATGAAAAACATTTGCAGAGTTCCTTTTTTAAGAGGAACTCCTTGACGTTTTTACCACTAGGTGCCAGTGTTTTTCAGTCCACCCCTCCTCGTACGCACTCTGTGAGTGGTCATGAAGTGGGAGTGGAGCGGAGCGAGGAAACGTAGAGTGAAAGGTTTAAGCCATTCTTCAGTTCTTCAGTTTCCTCATTAGCTAAAGTGGAGCTTGAGCCAACTCTGCGTTTTTGTTGGTCTAATTATCGTCATTTAAATATCGACGTAGGCAGTGGCTGTCTGCAGAGACAACACTAGAACCTTCTTTCTTTTTATATTATGATTTTTCTTCTGACTTGCTGACATTTTACAGTAATGGTTATAAACAAAAACCTTTTAAACCTTGGTCCAGTGGTTAAAGATTGACCTCAAACCTCACTTTAACAGGAAAAACACATTCCCTTCAACATCACCTAGACCAAGGGTTCCCAACCCCTGGTCTGAAGACCAGGGTGCTGGTCCGGAGGTCATATGGTAATGTTTCAAAACAGTAGGTCATTCAGATTCTAATACTAACAGAAGATGTTTTATTTCAAAAGTTGAAATGTCGCAGTAGTACAGGTCCGCAGTAACGGCTAGTACCGGCCGACCAGTACTTGGTACAAAAAAGGTTGGGGACCGCTGACCTAGACTACTGGACACCTGTGCCTAACGCAAAACATTTGGGTGTTTTAGTGACCTCTAGTGTCCATAACCATAAAACTAGAGGGAAAAAAAGGTTTGATTTGAGGCCACTCCAAAATGGAGAGGAAACTCTCATATAATAGTGCAGATAATAAAACAAAATAAAATACACGAATGTGACAAAAAGATGATGTTATGACAGGAGTCGACAGACAAATGTCAGGCAGGTTAGCAGCAAATGTAGCTCGACTATACGTATGGTGTCATCCACAGTAGATCCTGCGAATACTAAGCATGTAATCTGTGATCTGTGTGTTAGAAATTGGCAGCGGAGTTAGTTGTTTACAAACACAAGAAAAAGTCAACTACATCTGCATCTCCATTATTAGCATTGATGCTACTTCCATGTTTATGTGGATTTTTGTGTTTGATTGACACCTTCCATAATAGGACCTTGTAGTAAAAATAAGTAGCTCTGTATAGATCTAGATCTAGATCTAGATATATAGATAGTGTCAGTGGTTGACTGTCCTACCTGCAGTCCAGATCTGGACTATTTTGTTTTTCTTGTTTTTGAAAGCGCACACAGAAAGGCAGAATTTGATGCGTGAGCACAGAGAGCAGCGGGTTAGCAGACGCCCTCTGCTGGTAAGTGTCAGAAGCAGCCAAGATGGGAGACGTTCAGACAGAGCAATTCCTAACCTGACACCAAGGCCCTGCAGCAGCCGTATATATGTTTCTATCTTACATTGAGTGACCAGCTCGTCTCTGCCTCTGGCACTGGGAGAATCCTTTATCTGAATTAGGTGATCAATACGACCTGAAACACAGGATGAGGCAGGAGCAACCTTTACCTGGGCTTCTCACACACACACACACACATACACACACATGCGTCTGGATACCCAGTGTTGGTTTAATGTGTCCTTCAAACATAATAAAGCTCTGTCTTTAAATTACACTAAATGATCATGGTGTGTCAGACAGTGGACAGAGGACAAAGTCAGAAGAGCGGCAGTGTTACAGAAGCATCGTTTTCAGGTATTGTTCCTGGATGTGTAACAGAGAAACAAAAAGGGGGAAATGACGCCCTCTGTGTCTGAGCTCATTAGCTACAACAAAAGCTGCAGAGACGGTTATTGTCCGTTCAGGCCGAAGGCCATTTTGTGGACAACAGCAGCACATTTAACTGGCAGCAAAGTAAATTCTATTAAATTTAATGATTTATTTTTTGGCACAATTTGTCATGATTCCACATTAGGTGCAAAAAATGTATTTAAAAAAAACATATATTTTCTAGAAATCATTATATGTGATTTATCTTTAAAGCTATTTTTTGGCTACATGTGGCTAACTCGATTATTTTTTTCTCACAAATTTTCCCTCTTTTTTTCTAGCTTACTTTGGATTGTTTTTGTAACTTTGTCGTAACTCTTCCACCCAGTCTGACTATTATCACAGCTCCAGCTAATCTTGAGCCGTCTGTATCTGAAAGTCGATTAGTTAAAACTAATCTAAACTAAAAATTTGTAGCTACGTCTATTTCTTGCGTCTCTCTGTCAGGTTTGCCAAATTCTATACACATCAGTAATCATGACAGTAATCGTTAGCTGATGATTATTATTTAATTTTTCAATTTGTCATATCTTAAACTAGTTTTTAGCTCTTTCTGAATTGATAAGCTACTATTTTTGTATGATCTATTACATGGCAGAAGCCGGGGAGTGTTTCTTTCCTCTCTGTCCTCCTCCAGGTTTCAGTGTTCCCTTATCCACTTCCTCTAAAAAGTAGAAGCATTGTTTCTGTGAATGACCAGGTGGCGCAATATCCACACTGTAAATTGTTGCATCAAGCAGAGGACAGAGATTCACTTTTAAAAAAATATATAAATATATAGTTTTACTACTTGGTGAGTCTGGTTTTATGAGTTTGATTCTGTGGTAAATGTTTTTTATTTTACTGTACAGTAAAGACAGTGTCGCAGTAGAATGATGTGATTAAGATCAGACTCTGACTCTGGTGTGTGTGTGTGTGTGTGTGTGAGTGTGTGTGTGTGGTCAGTCAGGACTTACGGGGACCTAAAAGGTAACCGGCGCTGTTCAGGGTCCAGCCTCGCTTCTCCTTCGCCTGCAATGACAAACAACAAACTCTGTATTTAGGAAAATTCTGGAATGTTCTAGCCGCTTCCTTTTCTATACTACATTCAAACCTATACAATTCATTATTCCCATTCAACACAGTCACATCTTACACTGCAGCAACACACTCCATTCAGATTTTTAATACTAAATGTTAAAATGTAATACTTCTCACTGAAATCAGGATCAATCAGGATAAAGGAGTAAAAAGCTGTAAGAAGTTTTTTTTTTTTAATTTTATTACCTCCTCAAACCTTTATAGACTTGTATTCATAGCCTCCAGAAAATGTGACTAAGATAAAGGAAATTTCTGAGATCAGAAAATACTAAATATTCTATATATAAGTAAAATTGATTAAGTAATAATAATAAATAATACACATGAATTAGCACAAAACATATATTTAGCCGAAAACAGTATTTTGTAAAACTTTGAATATTTGAATTCTTGTTAAAAAATATACTTTAAATACATTTCCGGTTACTTTCTGGTCTTCAACAAGCACACATCCAACAGCATGTATTTAAAAGTTTATTTTTTAGAATCCGATCCTAATCAGTCGGAGATCTTACCGCGATAACCAGCCCGATGGTCTCGGACAGAGCTGCGCAGAAAATGAGCGACACACAAAAAATCCCAAAGCACTTCTGCATCTACAGAAACACATGAGGTAGAACTGGGATGAAGGTCCAACTCCAGAGACAGAGAAACATGTACAGCACTTTACAACTTAACTAAACAAACTTTCCCGGTCAAACAAACAAAACTTTAAAAAAAATAATAACTTACCTTTAGTTTTCCGCCGACTTTTCCACAGTCAGAATCTCGTCGTCTCGTCGTGTGGACAGAAGTCAGTCAGTGTTTGGATGAGAGAAGTTCTCCTCATGTCCACCTTTTATTGTCCGTCCTCTCCTCAGCTCACACACGTCCTGTGACGTCAGCAGCCTCCTCCCGCGGAGACGAACGACAATGAAATCCCATAATATCATTTCGTGACATCATCACATTTTTCTTTGTCGCCCCCGGAGACACTGGATCGAGTTTTTTTTTTTTTTTGTTTTTTTTTTGAAGAGGAATACGTGCGTTCGTGGGTTAATTCACATTTCTGATTTTACCTGTGGCGCTAACAAACCCAAATCTTTTTTTTTAATTAAATCTAGTTACCGATGAATTCCAATGTATTTATATATTTTAAGAATAAAAAATAAGAAGAATAGTATCTTTACAGCATGCGAAATAAAACATTGGTTATTAATATATTGAATGATAGCATCAGACTTTTATAGTATACACGTGATATTGTACGTTTCAAAGTATATAATATAATACCATATATGCTATGAAATACTTAGAAATATAATAGCAGAGATATACACAGTAATAATAGAGTATAAACAAATATAAAACAGCAATTATATTTTTGACAGAAAAACATATATTATAATATAGCAGCAATATAATAGTTAAAATGGAAATATATTAACAATAATGATATGTATTATATATATGTACAATAATTTCTTCCTTTACTGTATTACTGTTGCACCGATGTGTATTATATATATGTACAATAATGTAAACCATTCTTCCTTTACTGTATTACTGTTGCACAGCACCGTCCGTCACTTAGCCAAGAGATTACAGTGTAGATCAAGTGGCGACGTCTGTATTAGAACCAAACATTCACATCTGAATCCATGTCATAAATCAAAATGAAAAAGGTCCGTCCCGGGAGCCAGTGGTTGGGCCCCATGGACAGAGTTGATTAAAGGAGTTCATTAAGTCTAGGAGTGATCGCTTCACAGGGAGCTGTTGTTTCAGCACCACGGACAGAGACAATAAAATTAGATGGGTGGGTTTTTTTAAAAAAGCTCACTGTTCAGCACCATGGACAGAGAAGATACTGATTAGGAGACAGAGTGAAAACACAGAGGGTCGTCGTGTTGACAGACCTGTAGAGGATAATCACCTGGTCTGTACAACATCACCTGGTCTGTACAACATCACCTGGTCTGTACAACATCACCTGGTCTGTACAACATCACCTGGTGTCTGTACAACA